TGTCACGCTTGGTTTGTTGCGGTTGTCATCGCGGCGACGGTCATCACGCCGGTTGTTGCGGGCGTACCCATCGTCGCGTCGCGTATCACGACTCTTATAGTATCGGTACTCACTGTCACGCTTGGCCATTCTCTCCTTGCCCTTGAGAACATCTTCGACGATCTCTTCGAGCTCGTGAATGTCGGCGACTCGAGCGTGGTAGAGACTCTCCGCTAGTTTGTCATCGTCGCATGTTGCCAGGAACTGCTGTACGTGTTCTTTCGCGTCGCGACCACTCTTCTCAAAGTGTAGACGGGCGGTCCGAGCGTAGCCGTTCAGCCTGTTTATGTAGTCGCACAGATGTTCATTTCGTTCCCGCTTGGCGGAGTAGTAACGCGACAGTGCCGTCTGCGTGAACTGCGAGCAGTAGTAGCGGATGAACGCATCGCTCAGCAGCTTCCACTTGCGCTTCGTCTTCTTCGGAAGTTGACGGAACCAATGAATGGCTCCGTCCGGAGACTTAGCTCAAATGGAATGCACCATTTTTCGGCATCTGTGTGGGTTCCAGTCATTTCATAGACGAACCCATGGAGCCACTGCATACAGTTCTCGCTCTTGTTGCAAGAGCCTGAGAACGGCGTGATGCGATCCAGCGGTCGGTGCGAAGCCATATCAATCCTCGGTATTGGGTCCACGTCGTTCAGCGTCGCCAGCTCATTCATCTGACGCATCAACTCGAGTTGAGGATCTTCCTCGTCGAATGTACGCACCAAAATGTCATCGTCACTGGACGAACCATCGCTGTCGACTTGACGACGTCCGACACCACCTTTGGGAGCTCGCGCACCGCCTCGGCGACCGAACGAACCCTCGTTACTTGCGTAAATACGTTGCATACGGCTCTCCGAACGTGGCGTAACCATGTGTGAGTCTTGAAAGTACGGTGAAGCTTCGGTAGTGCCAAAGGCACCACGCTCAGCTCCACGCTTGGTCGGTGGAGTACGAACGAGTCGTTGGGGCGTCGGCGGCAGTGGAATCTTAGACGGATCTTCATCTTGAATCATCGGTCGACTCACAGGCTGCTTTCCGGCATTGATGCCAACGGCGCCAAACGCCTTCCGAAGCTTCTTCTTTCATTTCTGGAGAGCAGCTCCGGCTTCATGTGGACTCCAATCCTGGAGCGACATCGTCGATGGGTACGTCTCGTTCTCGAACCCCAGCGACAACAGTAGCGAGACTGAATCCTTGGCAACTTGACTAGTCGAAACCGAGCTGACTGGGTATTGAAGTTCCTGCGCAAGCGCAGGCCAGTCGGCCTTTTTCTTGGGGATGGGCTTGAACAGCTGCATCCACTCATCATTCTGCATCAGCGCTTGTACGCGGTCGAAAACGCGCTTGGCGGCTGGTGTATCACCGTTGATAGGTGGGCGAGGTGCCTTCAGCAGTGCTGAATGCTTTGCACTCGCCACCGAAGGTTTAAAACCCTCGGTCCCATCGTCATAATCATCATAGGCCGGTTCCGGTCCCGCAACATCATCGAGCTCGTCGGCGAGGTTCCTCGAAAGGGACTTGGTCGCCCCGCTCAGCCCCGATGATAGCGTGGCCGTCTCCGGCGTCGCTGCGCCTGGCTCTGGAGCCGGTGTCTTATCTTCGTAATCTTCATAATCGTGGGCGTCAGGACCGATGTCCGCTTCGTCGTCGAAGCTCACTGAAAGCTCGGTGGCGGCTGCAAAGCGCGCAGCCGGGCTTGAACACTCGTTGCGAGCCCCGCCAGACTTGGCAGGCGTAACTGGTACCGTCGGTTATCCTTTCGCCATTTTTCTTGTCTTTTTCTTGTTCTTCTCTTGGTAGCTCGTAAACTGGAAGGCCATACAAACAGTTCACAATGGTCACAATCTGTTCCCGGGTCGCGGCACCAGTTGTGGTGTTGGAAATCCCACGTGAACCCTAGCTACAGATGTAGTTAGGATGTTCCCACAACAATACGTCTACTAGGATAGTAAACGATTGTTCGGGCGGACCTGAAGACCCCAGTTCTGCCCTTGCACCGGGACAAACTGGACCTTGTAAACTACTTATATAGGCCAACCAGTAAAATAAGAACACGCTACTAGCACGAGCAAAGGTAGCAGGTGTTTTGAATCCTCGTGGTCCCAACAGCGGAAGGGTACCAGGCACGGGTAAGCCTTTTACGAGATCACCGAGTGTTCAACACTCGGCTGGAAGAAATAAAAGGGAGGCAATTCAAGCACTCCCAGTCGTGCAAATAGGCAACAATAAGTCGTCACGTAAAACCTCCCGATAATAATCGGCCAATACACAAAGTCTCTTGGCCTTGCCGGATGAACCCTCGCTACAGAGCTTCGAGTTCACCGACAGGCATAACACACTCAAACAAGCTTGACCTGACGCTTACCTTGAAGCCGGACGTCGCTCTGTGTGCTTGAGTGGAAATTCTGTTCTGTATTTAAGCTTACCCTTTCGGGTCTATTTCTAATAAGAAGTCCTAATCAAGTTTACAAATATCAAGTGAACAATGATCCGTTTTGGATCTTCTTGCATGCCAAGCGTCGTCTGCACTGTCGCATGAGTATCTTTAACGGTCCGCGCCCTGTCTCAGACGGTTAACGTGTCTTCCAAAGGTCGCTGAGTATTCCGCGAACTCATCCCAACCGCCACTGAGGGTTCGTACCGTAGATGGTCCGCTGAATGCGAATCCGACCAGTCCATTATTAATAATAAGGACAGCCTGGATTCAGTGACATAGGGCCGTATCCGATATTTGTTGAAAACTCGGAGGTGACGCCGTCGAGTCCCTTGCACCTTGGCGTCTCCGTACATCACCCGACCGAGGGTTCGTCGCTTGAACAACTTGGGCGGTGTCACGTCTTTGTCGACGGGTGATAATCCGCAACCACGGAGAAATCACTACACCACACACATATTGAAAGAGGGACGTACGAAGTGGCGACATCCGTTCATGTTCCTGCAATGAAAGCAATCCGGTGGTACGACAAGCAAGGGGTGCACGTATTAGCAACTGGTGGAAGTGCGCAACAGGACAGAATTGTCCGACGAGACCCTATTACGGCTTCGGAAGCGGAAGTAATGGCACCAAGAGTGGTAAAAGATTACCAGACCTTTATGGGCGGCGTGGATGTGCATGACCAGTTGCGTCTTCAAAGGTAAGTTGTCTTATCGTGTATAGACAGCTTTACCATTTCCGCTAATCGTGTCTGTTACACGCACCCCGTAGATACTCGTTGCAGTTGGCAAGACGCTACAGAAAGTATTACAAATCGTTGTTCCTAGGCCTTATTGATCTGGCAATTATCAATGCATTTATTGTCTTCAATTGCCGGCGGGTTAGAGATGGTGAACGAAAGCTATCACACGTGCAATATCTCAAACAGCTTCACCTGGAGTTGTGCCAGCTTCAACCTGAAGACTGGTAGCAGCTGCTACGCCGACGAGGGCTCCAGGCGACACGGACAAAAGCTCGAGAAGTCGCCAGACATGTGCCTGTTCAGACCGACGAGTGGCGTAAAGGGAGCGCCACACAAGCTCGAAAACGCCGTCAGCGCGCCTGTAAGGTGTGCTCAGTGCTCAAAGCCGATGGAGAGTTGCGTGGGGGTGAGACTACCCTCTTTTGCGGTGAATGCAGGCTGAAACCGTCTTCTAAAAATGCTCTAGCAGCTCGAGTCTTCCTTTGCAACAAAGTGAAGCACTCCGTGAATGGTGTTCCAGCATCGTGCTTCGAGATCTGGCATAAACATTGATAAAACGGCACATTGATCCCTCCGACACGGAACAAACGCAAGATTCGTGCCCGTAAGCCGAAGAGACCTACCGATGAGACTGCAGGTGATGCTGAGAACTCCGAGAAGTCGGGCGGTGAATCTGGAAGTGACGGATCATCACGCCAGAAGCGATCCCGCAGAAGTGATGACGTAGTTTAGGCAGGCTCCGGCTCTGATTTTTGACTTGCATTAAAGATACTGCACAGCTCACGTATTCCCAGCTGGTTTGTTTTTCTAAATATCGACAAATAAATCAGGCTTGTACTGTATCGTCTTTGCGTACAGGAGACACAATAATAGATATACCATGTATTAGGAAGACACTTTAGGCGGGGAAGACACGATACCAAAGTTTGGGGTTGGGGGTATGGACCGGCTCTAGTACAGACACGTTAAAATATATATGGAGTATAATATGGGTGCCCATCTTGCGGATAAACCTTAACGTGTGTAGGTATGTGTGAGATGGTGAGCACCAAATGGCCTCGGGCTTGGGGGGATTAATATTTTTTGCAGTGTAAAACTACTGTATTTCTATATTTGATGTTAAAACTGTCGATGCGAGGAGCAATCCGTATTTTATTATCGTAGCCTTACAACCTCGTTCATGTACGTGGATATAGCCGCCTCATCTAACTGGACCTGTTTACTGAAAAGGTATGCTGCTATACCTGATAGTGGAGTCATACAGTACTAGGTAGGAAAAAGTTCTACTGTAGAATTGCTTAAACCAAAAAATGAAAATTCAGTATTTACAGATTTGCTGGTTGCAGGCTCAGATATAGTAATACCTACCCCGCTAGAAGCGAGTTATTTTTTTTACTGAAATGGAGTACATGTAGCGGTTTTAACATTCATGCTGATCGTACACTATACAGCATGCGGACATTTTTTAAAGGAGTACCATGGGTGAAGCTGAAAATGGTGTTTTGGAAATTGTATTGTTTCTCGATTAATTCTCCATGGCCCCTCGTTTTTTTTCTGATAGACCGAAGAAACTCAAGGCCCAGGTTCGCTCGCTATCTCGACGTATCAAATTCTGCACCGGCACAATTTCGTCAGCATTGTGGCAATTTCGTGGCGTCGAACCAAACATTACAATAATCAGGGCTTTTTTTAGGGCATCACGGATCGGAATGGCTCGTCAGTTCGTGTCGTATTCAGATCCCAACTTACCCACAAGTCCGCAAGCCGTTCCACTCGCCAAACCCAAGACAGAGAATGCGTTTCACTCTCTTACTGTTGTTTACTGCGTCGTCTGCCCTCCTTGCATGGGGCAGTACGCTGTCCATCGAGAACGACGGTGAAACGAGGTCGCTGCGACAAACCAAGCTGGTAGTCAGCGACGACGCGCAAGATAAGGAACGTGGACTCATCTTCGACGCAAGCGATCTAACGGCTTTGAAGAGCTTTAAAACGGTCAATATCACAGGATGGCAACTGACCCGGAACATTCGAGAACAATTTTCACTTCCTGGAAACAGGCGATAAAGCCGTTAAACGACGCAGCGGGCTACATGGGAGGCCAAGGTGTTAGTGAGTCGGCAATCCAGCACTTTATCGCTGCGTACCGCATGCATAAGCTTTAAGTTGCCCCTGGGTGTCATGATGATGCTCCTCCTGACTCCAGCATCTACTTACACAACCTTTTCCAAGCCTTCACTCCCCGTTTCGCTCTACTATTCAACCAGACGTAGATCGTGTTCATGATGTGTTTGAAGCTGCATTCATAGCTGAGGCTTAGCTACAGAGCAGATGCTTTCCTTCTCTTTGCTTAAACACTCAATTCATTCTCATTTTTCCTGCTACAACTTAAGTCAAGCTCCTACGACTACAACTCAAGCGGAAACAAGTGCGTCTCCACAACTTCGTGACAGTTTTAAAACTATTGAAGCGATTCTTGGCGACTTCGAAAGCATGGTTACGCGCAATCGGAGCCCCAACCCAAGACCCCGGCAACAACGTCGTCGGATGCGAGATGAGGACGCAACGGCCGCCGTAAGTGCACCGACCGAATCGGCTCCATCTCAAGATGCCAACTCAGCTGAGACGCAACGGCACCAGCTACTCAACAAGCTACCGGTTCGCCGGATGGCGTTGTCATGCTGTAGCAAATGTTCTAGGCCTTCTTGACGAGCACTCAACAGCAACAGCAGTTTCTGAGCCAAGTCATCGCGCAGCAAACGCAGACGCAGCAGCAAAAGCTACAGCAGCAAGTGCTAATGCAGCGTTCACAGAAGAAGAAGGGCAATCCTCCATCATTCAATGGGCAGACAACTGATGACCTAGAATTCTGGATCTTCAGTACTGAACAGTACTATGCCGATTTCCAATCGGACATGGACGGCAACACGCCCGTGTTCGTGGACATGATATTTGCCAACCTTGGCCCCACGGCCAAAACCTGGTTTCGCGACTTTAAGATGTCACTCGGAAACCAGCCAGCAACATGGACCATTTTTAAGGCCAACATTCGTGAGAGGTTTCGCGACAGCGACTTCGAGCACAAGGTGCTGTCAAAGTTGCACCAGCTTCGACGCACAGGGTTCCAGCAAGAATACACGACGCGATTCCTACACTTACTCTCGCAGTTAGACAAAGACGTTCCTGAATTCGTCAAACGTTCGTACTACCAACAGCACTTACCAGAAGACGTCAGCAGCTTCATCTCTCAACATGTGCCGAAGACGCTGCAGGACGTTATCGAACTCGCTTACCGCTACGCTGACTCCCGGGCTTCAACAACCGAAAGAACGAGGCCAAAACAGCAAGTGCCACTGGTGGCCAAGAAATCAACACGAAGCCACCTGCTACTGCAAGCTCCTCTGGAGAAACAAAGCAGACGTCCACAAACGCCTCCGGCCGAGTGTGTGATTATTGCGCCAAGCCTGGTCACACACACGTCGTCTGCCGCAAGCTCAAGGCGGACGAGCGGGCCAATCAACAAAACATCTAGACGGCTCGGTGGGGTGGCAACCCACTGAGCCTACAACGGTAGTTAAAGATGACAGTACTTTGGCTACGGTGGCTCCGTCGAATCGACTTTGTTATCACTCAGATGATGGCAAGTCGCGTTCGACAAATCTATACTGCTATTTGACTCAATTAAGCCCCATTCTAACCGTTTCGGTTGAGATGTTCATCGACAACGGTGCGTCTTTCAATGCGATAGCACCGCAAGTGGCACATCGCTTGGGTCTTAAGGGGACTTCACACAAAAAGCCTCGCCGTATAACTATCGGCAACAACCAGCGGATCGCAATTCCTCGGACAACTGTAAATTTTACGTTGGAAATGGATGGATTTGCTCCGTACACAACGGACGCTTTCGTGATGGAGATTCCGGAAGGTAAACACGTCCCACTAGGTATACCATGGCTTGTAGAAGCTAATCCCGACATTGATTGGAAGTCGCGGGCGGTCAGTTGTCGTGGAACTACAGCGTCGCTCTCGCTCACGCAGTGCGTGCGAGCCACCCCAGCTTGCCATATTGGTGGCAGGCGACGTGGAATGGACGTTCTAATCACAAGGACACGCTACGTTACTACGCAGCCCACGCTTATGAGGCAAAGCATGGCGAGACAAAGGTGATCAGTGCTAAGCAATTCCGGAAGATGAAGAGCGCTGAGGGTGATTTCTGCTTTATGGGTCAGCTGGAGCAGCCGTCCGATAAAGCTTAACGACAGGCTTCTAGTGACTGGGACAATCTTAAAGGGCACGTCGCGGAGTCTGTACTACTCAAGTATAAGGATAAAGTGTTTCGCTCTCAGCTTCCAAGTGTCAGTCGCATTTCCGTAAAAAAATATTCCAGCATCAGCCATGATATTAAGGATCCTTATAGTACCCTAAGCAGCCGCTTATCGGCGATTTTTTTATCCAGTTAAATTGTACATTGCACTTGCAGTTTCATGATTTGTTAGGCATTACGGCTCGGGTTTTGTATGAACAGTGCAACAGATTTTAAAACTTATCATTAAAAACTCCCCCGCTTGCTAGTCTACCATAGAAATGACAAACAGCAAATTAGCTCGTAAGAGTTATTTTCCGTAAGCGTATCGTTCTGGGCATCGAGGTCCTCCATTTTGTCACTAATTGAAACCCAGTGTCACGAAGTTGTGGAGACACACTTGTTTCCGCTTGAGTTGTAGTCGTAGGAGCTTGACTTGAGTTGTAGCAGGAAAATAAGAATGAATTGAGTTAAGCAAAGAAAAGGAAAGCATCTGCCCTGTAGCTAAACCTCAACTATGAATGCAACTTCAAGCACATCATGAACACGATCTACGTCTGGTTGAATAGTAGAGCGAAACAGGGAATGAAGGCTTGGAAAAGGTTGTGTAAGTAGATGCTGGAGTCAGGAGGGGGCATCATCATGACAGTCTCTCCTCCGAAACAAGTCAGGGGTCACCGGAGCGCAATCTACGCGAAGTTGACTTTTGATCTTGTAGAAAACTGGCGATAAGCCCGCTTGCTTGTGTCAACTCGGACTCCGGCTCCCAGCTATCCTTGTTGTCACGACCGTACCAACGGACCTTGTACTGAAACAATGCCTTTGAGCACGCGATGATCTAGGGTACGCTGCACCTAAAATCCCTCGTGACCATCACGTGTAAGTAGTCGGGGAACATCGTTCAGCCGTCGTGGGTTGGCGTTGAACTCGTACGGTCGGAGATAAGAAATATGGAACTCATTGTGCAGCTTGATCCCGGGTGGGAGCTGAACCTGGTATGTATCCGGTGTGGTAAGCTTCAACACGGGATATGGGCCGATGTATCGTGGAGCGAGTTTACGCTTGCCGAAAAACGCCAAGATGAGGCAAGTCGAGGTGAGTCGTATCAAGAAGAAGTTGATCACCGGGAGCAAACTTGTAGTCAGGACAATTGCGGTCATGAAAATACTTCATTGATGCCTTGGCCTGCTCAAGTGAGTCCTTGCACTGTTGCAAAAACTTGTTCGTGTTGCACAAATTGCAGAGCTGCTCGTGAACGCCCCGCGGATGAAGGAATGACCAAATCGGCGACGGAGCGAGAGTTGTACCCGATATCGGCCACAAAAGGCGACATGCCCGTGCTGGAATGGACACGTGCATTGTTCGTAGATTCGGCCAGCGAAAGTAAGTCGTCCCCGTTGTCCTGTCGAGGATCCACAAATGCGCGCAGGTAATCCGAAACAAAATGTTTTTTTTTTTTGAGTCTGTCCGTTGGTCTCAGGGTGAAAGGCCGAGCCCAAGCGCAACTGGGTCTGCTGAAACCCCATGAGGTGTGACCAGAATTTGGACGTGAACTTTGTATCACGGTCGGAGACAATGCTGACCGGTAATCCGTGGTGTTTCTGGTAGTTGTCACGACAAAATTGGGCTGCTTGCTGGGCTGTACAGGTAGTAGTAGTAGGAATGAAGTGGTCTCGCTTCGTGAGTCGGTCTACGATGACCATAACAGCATCACACTTCGAACGACGGGGTTTAGTAAGGCCGGTAACAAAATCCATAGAAATATCTGACCACCGATTGCGAGGAATTTGCAGCGGATGGAGCAATCCCGCAGGCTTGCGATGAGAAGCTTTTACTAGTTGGCACATTTCACAAGAACGAACGTAGCGTTTGACTCTCCGCTCCATGTGTGGCCAATAGAACTGCTCTTGGACAGCCAACAAAGTCTTCAAACAGCCAGGGTGTCCACTAGTAGCCACGTTGTGCTTCTCGAATAGAATACTGTTTCTCAGGTCGGTATCGCTCGGTACACATAGTCGACGCGCGAAGTCAGGATCGGGCTGGAAATACAGGACTTTGTCTTCAACAAAAAAATGTCGGATGTTGGCTCGAAGAGTTCGATTCAGCTGGACTGGCGGTGACTCCATTGTGTTCGTACTGTAGCTGACAAACTTGTACAGGTCGCCAAATACTTCATCTTCGCTGTACAATTTGACTTATTGCTGATGAATAGTAGGCCGACCCCGCATGTATCGAAGCTGGACCTCCTCACTATCGAGATTTTCTTGAGTAGTTGTCAGTTGCCTCAGTAAATCTGCTAGGGACACGAAGTGAGCTGACTCCGCGGGATGGAAGGATGGATTACGAGAAACCATGTCAGCGATCACATTTGTGTCTCCAGGGATCCAGCGAAAAATAGGGCGATACATCCCGAGCTCGTTCAGCCAACGTGCGAGCCTTTGAGAGCATGTTTTCTGCTCCAGGATACTCTGCAGTGTTTTGTGGTCCGTATTGATGTAAAATGGTCGGTCCAGGAGATAAACCCGCCAGGTCCTCATGGCATGTAGTGCAGCCAAGAGTTTATTTTTTCGGGTGGGATACATCAGTTCTGCCGACGTCATTTTTCGTCCACCAAATGCGATAATGTGTTCGTTGCCCTCACCGTCGACTTGAAACAGATAGCCGCCTACCGCAAAGTCACTGGCGTCCATACGCACGTGGGAGTCGCAAAAACAAATCGGTACTGACGGTGAAGTCAAAACGGATTTCAGCTTGTGGAAGCACT